ATATAATATAATATAATATAATATAATATAATATAATATAACTTATAATATAACTTATATATAATATATATTGCATAATACACAATAGTCTTTATATATATTAGTATTAAATGTTATTTCTATATAATTATCAATATTAATAATTTATTATTTATCTAATATATTAAATATATTATATATGTAAGTATTTATTATACATAAATATCTGTATAAACCTCACAATTGACTCATCAGAGGGATGTGCTCCCTTCAAACCCATTTCCCCCAGAGCAGCTCCATTCATTCCCCTTTAAAACCCAGTATCTGTATAAATATATATATATGAAAAAAATAAAAATATATTTATTATATATATAAATATCTGTATAACTGACTGATCAAACAGAGGGATGTGCTCCCTTCAAACCCATTCCCCCAGAGCAGCTCCATTCATTCCCCTTTAAAACCCAGTATCTGTATAAATGCATATATATATATTTATATATATTCATATATATATATTTATATATATTCATATGTACATGAAAAAAAATATATTAATTATATATAAATATCTGTATAATTGACTGATCAAACAGAGATGTGCTCCCTTCAAAGCCATTCCCCCCAGAGCAGCTCCATTGACTCCCCTTTAAAACCCAATATCTGTGTAAATATATATATATATGAAAAAAATAAAAATATATTTATTATATATAAATATCTGTATAACTGACTGATCAAACAGAGGGATGTGCTCCCTTCAAACCCATTTCCCCCAGAGCAGCTCCATTCATTCCCCTTTAAAACCCAGTATCTGTATAAATATATATATATATATATATATAAGAAAAAAAAATATATTTATTATATATAAATATCTGTATAATTGACTGATCAAACAGAGGGATGTGCTCCCTTCAAAGCCATTCCCCGTAGAACAGCTCCATTATTTTCCTTTAAAACCCAATATCTGTATAAATATATTATATATAATATATAATATATATACATATATATATTTATTATATATAAATATGTGTATAACTGACTGATCAAACAGAGATGTGCTCCCTTCCAACCCATTTCCCCCAGAGCAGCTCCATTCATTCCCCTTTAAAACCCAATATCTGTGTAAATATTGCTCTATCCCATTTATTGCTCACGCTCCTTTGCACACCAACAATGCCCCTTTGTGTTCCACTGAAAGATTCATTGCAGGCCCTGCACACCCAACCAGCTGTGAAGCCAGGCTGCATTTGGTAATTTTAATTTTTAACTATTGCATTCTGCTTCTAAAACCATTTGGATCCATCCTCCTCAGGGGCTGGCAAGAATAAACCACAAATAACTCCAACAGGCCAGGACTGAACAGCCAGGGAGAGAAACAAGGCAGCAGAGAGCTCTGGAAGGAGCCAAAGAAGGGAAGTTTCAAAAAAATCTTTATTGTTGTATTTAGGAATTTCATAGAATTTTAGTTTGGGTTGGAAAAAATGATCCAGAATTATAGTTTGGGTTGGAAAAAATGATCCAGGTCCCAGGCTGCTCCAAAGCTGCTCCAAAGCTGCTCCAGGCTGGCTTTGGACACTTCCAGGGATGAGCAGCCACAGCTTCTCTGGGAATTCCATCCCAGCCCTTCTCCACCCTCCCAGGGAACAATTCCTAATTCCCAATATCCCATCTAACCCTACTCCTTTTTAGTTTGAAGCCATTCCCTGTGTCCTGTCCCTCCATCTTCTGGAAATTGTCTCTCTCCATCCAATTCTGAAATTGGATTTTTTGAAATTGTCTCTTTCCATCCAATTCTGAAATTGGATTTTTTGAAAATTGTCTCTCTCCACTTTTCCTGTGGCTCCTTCACGTGCAATTGTCATTGAGGCTGAAGGAGATTTATCATTTTAAATTCTGTCCCAAAATAATTTAAAGCAGGAGTTTTAAAGGGTTTTTTAGCCCTCTCTGAGGGGTTGAAAAATCACCTACCCCGTTGCCACTGCCAGCCTCAGTGTCCAGGTAGGAAGGGGGCATTTGCACCTTGCTGAGCACCTTAAAACAGGTTTTTAAGGCATGAGTGAGCTCTGGCAGCCCCAAGAATTCCATGTTTTCCAGGAGAGACTGCACCATGTAACTGAGCATCTGGGGCAGGTACTGAGTCTGCACCTCTGAGTAGAGCTCCTGCAATAAAAAAGGAATTTTTTTAATTTATTTTATTATTAAAGGAGTTATCCCATCTCATCCATCCCTGGCAGGGATTATCAAACCCAGCCTCACCAGAGGAATCACATCCAGCAGGAACACCAGCAGGGTGCACAGCTCTGAAATGGTGGGAGGAGCGCTCACGTTTTCCAGAGGATACCTCATCCCCGTGGATTTGTTTCTGGAGTGAAAGGAAACAAATTCCATTCTTACGGAACGGTAAAATTCTGGTTACAAGCAAAAAGCTTTGTTAAAATCAGCACAAAACACTGAACAGCTCTGAGGCAAAGGGTTTCTAACAGGGCAGGGGAAAACATTCTGTCAAAACAACCTCAGCTCTGCGTGGTATGATCAACTGCTAATTTTCAGATTGCAGAATCTTCTTTCTTAGAGTTAGAAAATGACAAAAAGACAGATATCATCTAATCAGAGGGTTGGAAGAGACCTTAAAGCCCATTTAGTATCTTTATTTTATTTNCCCTGCTCTGGAACAATTTGGTATTTTACCACAAAGGAGGAATTCAAACCTCACATGAGGAATGCAAGGTTGAGAAAAGAGGAAAATCCCAGCTCAGAAGAGGAAACACCTCCCAGCGTGATGGGTTTTTCCATTTCTTTATTAAAAAAATCCCTAAAAGCAAGTTTTCCTCTGCCATTTTCTGTGTGAGTGCACAAAGTCAGGGAAATTTGGAGCTGGAAATGGAGTCTGGGCTGAAGCACAACCTCAGCACTTTGTTCTCTTGCAGGAACAGCAGGAGATGGATTAATTTTAGTCCTCAATATTGAAGGTTCTGAAAACACTCTGTGGAGAACCTCTCATGAAAAAGAATTAAAAATTAACCTGACACAGCTTCTGACAGGATATTCTTGCACAGAATCATTGCAATGAGTAAACAAAATAACAACTCCCTCATGGAAATTGGTATTTCAAAAACAACCCAAATAAATTAATTTTAACATAAATATTTGCCAATATTTATGAAATAGATCCTATTTGTTCAAGGCAAAGAGGAAAATGATGCAATCAAAAATAGGAGAAAAAGGTGTAAAACCAGAGGTCAGATCTTGGAAGTTCATCTGATTAATTTTAGTCCTCAATATTGAAGGTTCTGAAAACACTCAGCAGAGAGCCTCTCACGAAAAAGAATTGAAAATTAATCTAACACAGCTTCTGACAGGATATTCTTACCACAGAATCATTGCAACGAGTAAACAAAAGAAAAACTCCCTCATGGAAATTTGTATTAAAAAAAAACCAAACCCAATTAAATTAATTTTAACATAAATATTTCCCAAGATTTATGAAATTTATGTCTGATCTTGTTTGTTCAAAGAGGAAAATAAAAATGCCATCAAAAATAGGGAAAAAAGGTGTAAAACCAGAGGTCAGATCTTGGAAGTTCATCTGTTTAAATTTAGTCCTCAATATTGAAGGTTCTGAAAACACTCTGTGGAGAACCTCCCATGAAAAAGAATTGAAAATTAACCTGACACAGCTTCTGACAGGATATTCTTACCACAGAGTCATTGCAATGAGTAAACAAAATAACAACTCCCTCATGGAAATTGGTATTTCACAAACAAACAAACAAAACATTGAATTAATTCTAACATAAATATTTGCCAATATTTATGAAATATATGTCAGATCTTGTTTGTTCAAAGAAGAAAATAATGCCATGAAAAATAGGAGAAAAAGGTGTAAAACCAGAGGTCAGATCTTGGAAGTTCATCTGTTTAAATTTAGTCCTCAATATTGAATGTTCTGAAAACACTCTGTGGAGAACCTCTCATGAAAAAGAATTGAAAATTAACCTGACACAGCTTCTGACAAAATATTCTTGCACAGAATCATTGCAATGAGTAAACAAAAGTCCCTCATGGAAATTAGTATTAAAAAAACCCCCATTTAAATTAATTTTAACATAAATATTTGCCAATATTTATGAAATATATGTCAGATCCTGTTTGCTCAAAGAAGAAAATAATGCCATGAGAAATAGGGGAAAAAGTGTAAAACCAGAGGTCAGATCTTGGAAGTTCATCTGTTTAAATTTAGTCCTCAATATTGAAGGTTCTGAAAACACTCAACAGAGAGCCTCTCACGAAAAAGAATTGAAAATTAATCTAACACAGCTTCTGACAGGATATTCTTACCACAGAATCATTGCAATGAGTAAATAAAATAACAGCTCCCTCATGGAAACTGTTATTTTTAAAAAACCCAATTAAATTAATTTTAACATAAATATTTCCCAAGATTTATGAAATTTATGTCTGATCTTGTTTGTTCAAAGAAGAAAATAATGACATCAAAAATAGGGGAAAAAGGTGTAAAACCAGAGGTCAGATCTTGGAATTTAATTTTTAATTCCCATTAATTCCCTGCTCCATATTTTTACCAGATGATACAGAAATATTGGAAAGAATTCAGCTGCTCTCTCATGTTACAGAATTCAAACAGAATTTATCTCCAGAGCAGTGGTTTGGGAGTCAGGTGAATTATTTAGGAGTCAGAGGAGCTTTAAGAATTTTTTTTTTTTTTTTTCTCTCAGCATTTCTATTTTTAATCCTCCTTTTCCTCTTCTCTTTTTTAATCCTCCTTTTCCTCTTTTCTTCTCCTCCTGGGATGAAAACAGAGAGGAAAGGGATTTTTTATTTCAGCACTTTTCCAGGTCCCACCATTCAAAAAAGCTCTTTTATTGACAGAAATCTGACAGAATTTTTTTGAGAATTCCCTAGAAAATCAAACCACTGGTTATTGCTTCAATGAAAATGGAATAATTAATATTACCTGTCATAAATTTCTGATCCTTCTTCCAGGCCAGGCAGCAGCCCAATGACAAAGGCCTGGAGACCGGGCAGGAGGGATTTTTGGAGAGGGAGAAAATATTTCTCATACAAGCCCAGCAGAACAGGTCTCACTGACATTGCTGCATTTGCCAGCAGAGGGAACAAACCTGAGCTTTAATTAAAAAAAAAAAAAAGATAAAATGAGAGTTAATTTAAATAGATTGAGATGGTTATACCTTAAAAAAAAAAAAAAATTAAAATGACACGTACAAAATGATTCTTAGTGAGCCCCATTTGTGCCTTAGGGGAAAAAAAAAAATAAAATTCAAATTACCTGTACAGGAATAAATCCTTGGCAAGCCATTTGGTGCCAATGATTTTGAAGATGATTTCGTAGGTTTCTAAAGCCTTTAAGTGCACGCCACTGGGCAGGGCCGGGTGCAGGCACTGGGACAATCTTTTACTGATGATCAACCTTCGGGGCAGCAGCGAATATTTCAGGTTACTCTGCAGAGCCTGGGGAGACAGGAGAGGAGGGGAAAA